GTGAAGGATGAAGATATTCCTAAGACTGCTTTTCGCACTAGATATGGCCACTATGAATATATAGTGATGCCTTTTGGAGTCACAAATGCTCAAGCTGTGTTTATGGACTACATGAATCGGATCTTTAGACCTTTCCTAGATCGATTTGTGGTAGTCTTTATTGACAATATTTTGATTTATTCTAGTTCGTCAGAAGAACATGCAGAGCATTTGAGGACTGTACTTAGTATTTTAAGGAAAAAACAGTTGTATGCTAAATTATCTAAGTGTGAGTTTTGGCTAGAGGAAGTGAAGTTCCTCGGTCATGTTATTTCAGCTTAAGGAATTGCAGTTGATCCTTCCAAAGTTAAAGCGGTGTTGCAGTGGGAAAGGCTGAAGACAGCCACAGAGATTCGTAGTTTTGTGGGTCTAGCAGGTTACTACCGGAGATTTATAGAGGGATTTGCGAAGATAGCTGCACCATTAACACGGTTAACTCGCCGTGATCAACCCTTTGTATAGACTGAGGAATGTGAGCAAAACTTGAATGAGTTGAAGCAGAGACTAACTTCCTCACCGGTGTTGATTCTCCCTGATACTAGTCGACCGTTCGAGGTGTACTGTGATGCTTCCCATTAGGGATTGGGATGTGTGTTGATGCAAGATAAGAGAGTGGTAGCTTATGCATCTCGCCAATTGTGAACTCATGAGCGAAATTACCCGATTCATGATCTTGAGTTAGCTGCTGTGGTCTTTGCTCTGAAGGTGTGGCGGCACAATCTTTATGGAGCTCAGTTTGATGTATATAGTGATCACAAGAGTCTGAAGTATTTATTTGATCAACGAGAGTTAAATATGAGGCAGAGACGTTGGGTGAAATTCCATAAAGATTATGATTTTCAGCTCCAATACCATCCAGGAAAAGCTAATGTGGTGGCCGATGCATTAAGTAGGAATGTGGTTCAGGCATTCTCCTTAAAAGTTAGTGAAACCCTTTTGGTAGAACAATTCCGAGACCTGAACATACATGTGGATTTATCACCTGAAAAGATTAGTTGTAGCCGAATTGTGGTGACTAATAATTTCTTACAGGAAATTAAAGACAAACAACTGTGGGATCCGATGTTATGTCGGATTGTATTTCTCTTAAGGACAGATAAAGCAAAGGGTTTTAGTAAAGGTGCTGATGGTATTCTCAAATGCCAAGGTCAAGTTTGTGTCCCTAGAGATACTGAATTAAAGAAAGCAATTCTAGAAGAAGGACATAAGGGTAATCTCAACATTCATCCTGGTGTTACCAAGATGTATCAAGATCTAAAGCAGATATTTTGGTGGCCAGACATGAAGCGAGAGATAGCTGAATTTGTTAAAGCTTGTTTGACTTGCCAGAAGGCAAATGCGGAGCACCAAAGCCCTCCAGGAGAGTTGCAGACAATGGAAATTCCAGAGTGGAAGTGGGACCATGTGACTATGGACTTTGTGTCCCATCTACCTAGAACAGTTAAAAATCATGATGCCGTGTGGGTCATAGTTGATAGGCTAACCAAGAGTGCGCATTTCTTGCCAATTAACATGACCTTTAGCTTGGAGAAATTAGCAGAATTGTATATTAGAGAGATTGTCAAGTTACACGGAGTACCTTCTAGTATTATCTCTGATAGGGATCCTCGATTCACTTTCCAGTTTTGGCAGAGTTTCCAAGAAGCTATGGGCACACAGTTGAGGTTGAGTTCTGCATATCATCCGCAAACAGATGGTCAATCTGAGCGTACTATTCAGACCTTAGAGGATTTATTACGGACTTGTATTGTAGAGCAGAAGAGTAATTGGGAGGATATGCTTCCTTTGGTAGAATTCACTTATAATAATAGCTACCATTCGAGTATAGATATGTCACCATTTGAAGCTCTGTATGGTAGAAGGTGTAGAACCTCTATATGTTGGTTCCAAGATGCAGTACATTTGATGGTTGGGCCTGAAATGCTGCAAGAAACTAAGGAGAAAGTTGAACTTATTAGAGAAAAGCTTAGAGCTACCCAGAGTCGACAGAAATCTTATGTTGACCGACGCAGAAGATCCCTAGAATTTGAGGTTGGTGATCACGTATTCCTGAGAGTATCACGCACTACAGGTGTGGGGCGAGCCTTAAGAGCTAAGAAGTTAACACCTAAATTTATAGGACCATATCAGATAATACATCGTAGAGGACTAGTAGCCTATGAATTAGCGCTACCACCTCAGTTGTCAGGACTACATAATATTTTCCATGTGTCGCAGCTAAGAACGTATGTTCCTGATTCGTCTCATGTAATTGAGCCTGATGTTGTGGAGTTACGAGATGATTTGTCTGTGGAGGTCCCAGCTGCTCTTATCGAGAATACTAGAGTTAAGGAACTTAGAGGCAAGTCTATTCGGTTAGTAAAGGTTATTTGGGACCCAGTAACTGGTGATGCCACATGGGAGTTAGAGGAAAGAATGAGAGAGTTGTACCCTCATCTTTTCTCTGAGCGATGAAATTTTCGAGGACGAAAATTTATTTTCGAGGACAAAAATTTATTTTCGGGGGGAGAATTATCAGGCCTGTGATTTATTATTGAGTAATCTATAATATTTTATACTTGTTAAATGTTAATTGAAGGATTATTTGGTATTGGAATAGATTTAGATGGAGTTTGAAATTATTTAAAAAAAAAAAAAAAAGTAAACAGTACCGTATGAACAGTGTCAGATGAACAGTAAAACTGCCTATGAACAGTTCAAACCGCTATGAACAGTGAAAACCGCGTATGTATAGTGACTGCTGACGTCATCAGTGACGTCACATACGTGTACAGTGCGCGTGCACAGTATTTTCTGGCGTGAATAGTGCCCTGAACAGTGTTTCCGGCGTGAACAGTAAGGCGGTGAAGAGTAAATTTTGAAAATTTTCTATAAAAAGGGGGCTTCACACGAAATTTTCATTTCTTCACCCCTATCCAAGGTTCTCAAAGGTTCTAAGGCCAAATACCAGCATTTCTCTCATACTAAACCTTCCAAAACTAAGATTTCTTGTCAGATCTAAGATTCTACGTCTATTCTGAAGGATTTGAAGAGAAACTTCGTTCTAAAGCCGAATCTTCGGTAAATCTTGCATTAAAACAAGTAATATTCGGTAGATCTAGTGTGAATCATCTTTCTGAGGTAAGGGTAGTTTACTTTAACCTATGAACTACTTTTTGAACGGTTTAATATGCTATTTCAAGATGTTTTGATATAATTTTGTTAGATCTTTTGAATAAAAGCTATTTTCTAGGCTGTAACTGCTGTTAATTGATTTAAAATGCTGAGATTTTGACTGATCTATTATAAACTTGCTTTAGTTGAGCTGCTAAAATAACTTTGGCGGTGTGCATCATGCTGAGATATATATTTTGCATCATTATAGAGCCGACTTACATGTTTAGGTGGGTAGACATGTAACGGTAAGTTCATGTTGAGCTGCTATGCTGTGCTGTCTGGATCCAGATACCGGAATGGGTCGCTCCCGGACCGGCTCAGTTCCTTCTGGATTACTTAGGCTGTGAAACTAGTTGGAAACCGTCTTCATGCTGTGCATTAGATGGGCTGGAAATGTATGGGATTATTACTGTGAGAAATATTTTGCTCTATATATATGATTTTATTTTAAGTTTGGTAAGCTCACCCTTGGATTTCTTTCTATGTCGTTGTGTGCGTGTGTACTGTGATGATCATACGGTGGTACGTGAGCAGATGAAGCAGGTGTTGCATCTACTTCACAGGCTGAGGGGCCAATGAAGAAATGTTAGAAGCTGGGGTCGAGTATTATTACATCAAAGTCTTTTTTTCCCTTATATTTTGAGACCTCATGTAGAGGGAACTATTTAGTATAATTTTGGGTATTTTGAATATTATGAACTAAATGTAATATTATGTTGTTCTATTGGATATTTGTTGTAAGAAACTTTGTTTTATTTTAATTGAGAAGAGAATTTCATACTTATATTCTCTATTATTTATTTATCGTAAATAAGTATGTGATGTACAAACAATGTTCTCGGTTCCTTACAAAAAGGGGTCGTGACAATCCTTCTATATGCAAATACTCCAAATGGACATGTGAAGGCAGTCTTCTCTTGATCCATAGGGTCCACCGCTATTTGATTATAGCCTGAATATCCATCAAGGAAACAATAAAATGCATGTCCAGCCAATCTTTCTAACATTTGATCGGCAAATGGTAAGGGAAAATGATCCTTCCTTGTTGCGTCATTAGGCTTTCTATAATCAATGCACATGCGCCAGCCCATGACAGTTCTAGTGGGTATTAATTCATTCTTTTCATTTGCCACTACAGTTATTCCTCCTTTCTTAGGAACAATTTGAACCGGGCTGACCCATTGACTATCTGAAATTGGGTAGATTATCCCTACATCTAATAGCTTCATTACCTCTTTTCTAACCACTTCCTTCATGGCTGGATTCAACCTTCTTTGTGGCTATACTACTGGCTTGTAGTTGTCCTCAAACATAATTCTATGTCTACAAAAGGATGGGTTAATACCTTTCAAATCTGAGATGTGCCATCCAATTGCAGATTTGTGATTCCTTAAAATTTTCAGCAGCTTTTCTTCTTCATCTCCCTTGAGATTATTGCTTATAATCACTGAATATTGATGTCTTTGATCTAGAAAAGAGTACCTCAAGTGAGACGGTAATTGTTTCAGCTCAAGTTTCTCCACTCTCTTCTTCCTCTTCTTTTTTTTAGCTCCTCTCTTGCTGAATTTTCGAATAAAGGGATAATAGGCAGTGTTTCAAGTTGCTGCACATATTCCATGAAATTTTCTTCTCTTTTTACAGCAGCTTGTGAATTCCCTGCAACTATAATTTCCCTTAACATAGAAAATTCATCAACATTATCAATTAATTGAGGAAATGAAATAGATTCTAAAATATCAACTCTCATGCAAGTGCTATCATCACTAGGATGTGTGAGTGCTTCAAAAACATTAAAGGTAACCTTTTCATCCTGCACTCTGCACTGTAAGCCTTAATTCCCCTTTTTGCACATCAATCAAAGCTCTCCCTATAGCTAAGAAAGGTCTGCCCAATATTAAAGGAATATTGGCATCCACCTCCATATCTAAAATGACAAAATCTGCAAGGAAAATAAACTTGTCAATTTTTACCAATAAATCCTTTACAATACCATATGGATAAGTATATGATCTGTCCGCAAGTTGTAGAGTGATGCTTGTTGGCTTGACTTCCTCTATTCTAAGTCTGTTCATAATGGCAAGAGGCATAAGGTTGATGCTTGCCCCAAGATCACACAAAGCTTTTCCTATTGTGCAATTTCCAATATAGCATAGAATGCTGAATGAGCCTGGATCTTTTAATTTTTGAGGCAGCTTTCTCTGCAAAATAGCACTACATTCTTCAGTCAAAGGGACTGTCTTATCATTTTCTAACTTTCTCTTCTTGGACAGCAACTCCTTCATGAATTTTGCATATGAAGGCATTTGTTCTAATGCTTTAGCAAATGGTATATTAATTTGGAGCTTCTTGAAGACGTCTAGAAATCTCTCATACTGCCTTTCTTGCTTAGGATTAGTGACTCTTTGTGGATAAGGCAGTTGCTTGTATTTCTCTTCATCTAGAGGCTTGTTTGAATCTTCTAAAATTTGCCTCTTTGTTCTTCTCACAGTTTTAGGGAAGGTATCCATTTCTGAATTTTCTCTTTTTAATAGGGTGAAGTTCCCTTCCTCTAGTTCAGATTTAATCTTCTCCTCTTCCTTGGTTTTCTCTCTCTTTTCGGCTGGTTTTGGACTACCCACAACAGCTCCACTCCTAGTCATCACAGCTTGGCATTGTTCTTTTAGATTTATAACTATGTTGCTAAGGAATCTCCCATCTTCTATGCTGGACAGTTGCTCAGCTAACTGTCTAATCTGTGTTTCCAACTTCTTCATGGAAGATTCTTGATTCTTGAAGCTTGTTTGTGTTACTTTCATGAATTGTAACATGGTTTCTTCCATTTCATTCAGTGGTTTAAAAAACCTCTGATTTTTTTGAAGTTGGCTAGCTGGATTCCCTTGGAAATAAGGTTGTTGAGCTGCTGGTCCTGCATTTGAAAATGGAACAGTAGAGTTAGAATTTTTCCAATTAGAATTTTGGTTATTCCAGCTATGTTGCTACTGGTTTTTATCGTTAGAGAGTTGAAAACGAGGAGGAAATGAAGATTGTTGTCTTTTAAAATTCCCCATATATTTGACTTGTTCTTGAGATTCATAATTATTTCCATCACAAGCTCCGTTTACATGATTCCCTCCACAAAAATCACACACAAGTGGAGTATTCTGGGTTGGTGCAGCTTGTAAGTTGCTGATTTGTTGAGTAAGTGCAGCTATTTTCTCAGAAAACAATTGATTTTGCAGCTGATTTTGAGTCAAAAAGGTCTCAAGAAGTTTTGCCTCATAACCATTACTCCTTGTTGATTGTCTCAAACTACAGCTTTGATGCATGGAGAAAGCCATCATATCTATAATTCCTTGAGCTTCTTCTAGTGATTTGGTGTTCAAAGAACCTCCTGCAGCTGCATCTATCATATTTCTAGTTGCTGGATTCATCCCATTATAGAAGGTTTCAAGTTGCATCCATTCCGGTATGCAATGATATGGGCATCTTCTCAAGAGTTCCTTGTATCGCTCCCATGCCTCATATAAGGTTTCTCCTTCTTGCTGCATGAAGGATGTGATCTCTCCTCTTAGCTTTGCAGCCTTAGAAGGTGAAAAATATTTAGAGAAAAATTTATTGACTAGATCTATCCAAGTAGTTATTCTTCCTTGTGGTTGGGCTTGGAGCCAACATTTTGCCTTGTCCCTCAAGGAAAATGGAAACAATCTTAATCTGATTGCATCTTCGCTAACTCCATTGATCCTTATAGTATCACATAACTGCAGAAAATTATAAATATGCAAGTTAAGATCATTTGAAATTAATCCAGAAAATTGATCTTGTTGAACTAAATGAAGTAAGGCAGATTTAATCTCAAAATGGTTGGCTTGAATGGTTGGTCTGACAATAGAAGAACTGTATCCATGCATATTAGGTACTCCATAGTCTCCTAAAGTCCTTTGTCTATGTGGTTCAGCCATTGAATTTTCAGATGAAGTTGGAGAATTGACTTGTTTTTCTGCTGAGTTTGGTGAAGAAGGTGTAAACTGTAAATTCTGGTTCTTTTTAGCCGAGTTCTCTGCTCTCAAGTCATTCCTTATCCTTCTCAAAGTTCTGTCTATGTCCGGATCAAATACAAGAACAGATTTGTCTTTATTCTTCCCACGCATATAACACAAGGAAAACTAAACACAAACGCTAATACTTGAACTTTGATTAGAACACATAGCAATGAAGTGCAGAGAATCTACAATCAAAATATTCTTCAAGAGCTAAAAGATAACCTCTGTTTATTTAAAAACAGAACAACAATGCAGTATTCAAAAATTAAAATTACAACTAGTATATGTAAAATCACTACCAAAAGTTAATACGAAATTGAACTATCAAACAGAACTGAATTAAAAACAGAAAATAAATGGTACAATCTAGCTATCCTCTAGTTACTAATGATGTTAAAACTAAGATCCCCGGCAATGGCGCCAAAAACTTGATACACATTTTCTCTATCATAGTACTTAAATGGTGTAATTCAATACTAGCAAGTGTACTAGGTAGTTGTAGCAAGTTATAAAATGTGGAAATCAAATTGAGTCCCAAGTATCGTCCTTTAGGATCTTATTTTTAATCACCAATTCAGAATATAATAACCATTTGCACCAAAAAATTCATTGAACCGATTTCAATATGGAAGAAAGTAAAATTTCAGAATTAAAGAAATGAGAAATTATTAAAAATAGAATGTTAATTTGTACTATTTGAATGAATTATGAATGGAGGAAAGTTAGGAATTTATTTCACTAGAATATCAATATCAATTCAGTTCTGCCTCTGAACATTCAAGCAATTGATTGATTGACAATCGGTTTCTCTTTACAATAACCAAAGATTGATTCCTCAATTCATTGGTCCTAATATTCAACCAAATCTCCCTAATTCCTTAGGCCAAATTTAGTTCAATATTGCATTACGAATTAGAACAAAGAGATTACAAAACTAAGACCACTTATCCCTAAGAAAATCAATAGTTTTGGGAATTAATTCAGATCCAAGTAACAAACCCAATTTCTTAGTGAAGGTTACTTTTTGATTAATCAATTGAACTTCCATTCAAAGATCAAGTAAACATAGAATTAATCCTTCAATCAAATCAAATACTCAAAGTTCAGAGTCAAAACGAAATCAATATATCAATTCTAGATCCATAAATCCCTAACAAAAAGAGTTAGAAACACATTACAATGAAATGGAGAAAAGAAAGAAGAAAAGAAGATGAAAAGCAGAGAGTCATCTCCATAACTTTGTCTTCCCCCAGATTCCTCTAGCAAAAAAGAACAAAAGTCGCTCCTCTCTTCTCTCTCTGACTTCCCTTGGAAGTTAAAACGGTTACAACTGAATACCAAAAACCAAAAAATGACAAAAAGCTCTTTTTCTAAGTTTCTAATTCCTATTTATAGAGTTCCTCTAATTCTTCAACTTAACCCTTGGAATTCTGAAATTTAGTTATCCCCAGGTGTTTTGGAATCTTCTAAAAGTGATACAAAAGCTCCAAACGTCCAGAATTGGCGAGAAAAAGAAGTTATAAAAATTGCAGAGTTTTGCGCCAAAACGCGCAATGGCTAAAGTAAAGGTGCGCAGTTGCACGCCTTGGCTGCAAGTGATGTGAGTTGCAACTCTCAGTTGTGCGCCAAGGCTCCAAGTGATGTGCGTTTCAACGCACAAAACTTCAATGAACGCTTCTTCCATATGCTCAATTCTGCGTTACTACGCCATCTGTTATGAGTTGCCACTCTCTGTTGCGCGCCAAAGCTCCAAGTGATATGCGTTTCAATGCAATGGCAGTTATCCAGTTATAGTTGCTAGAGTGTTAATGCACATCACTCAGAGTAGCCACGCAGACATAGTGCTGTATTTTCTTCTTTCCACGTTCAAACGCCAATCACTTAGAGTTTTAATGCCCAGCTCTTAGGATTTCTTCAAACTTGATTCTTTAACTTTTCTTCTTTAATTTCAGCTTTTGATCCTTCCTTTAAGCACTTTCAACAACTTTCCATCTTTTGCATGAACTCCTACAAAAATCTAAACAATTTTTAATATTTCAACAAAACAACAATTTATACTAATTATTTTATTTTTGTGGTCTTTTCAAGTTATTTTTAGAACTATTTTCCTAATTATTAACCAAAAACTTTACTAAAAACATGGTAAAATATGGATTTATCATATTGTGAAGTTTATGTATAGCCTTTTCTTTACTTTTGATTATGGTAATTTTGGAAGTTTTATGCTATTGCACTATTCTATTGATTTAAATGGAAATATTTAATTAAATTGTAGTAATTACTTCTGGGAAAATTTTATGGTATCCAAATTTCATATTGAAATTGAATTGAAATGAAAAATTATTTATATGTACCGAATTTGAAATAAGGACGTTACAGAATACACATTCTACATGTTCTTGGTCATGAATAGGTTCCCTATTTTGCGTAAATTCTATGTTATTTTGTGAATTTTGGTGTATTTTGCTGCGTGCTTCCTTCTATAAACTCCCTCTTGAATTTGTTCAGGTGCTCCTTGAAATTCTTGTTTGTGTCAATATCTTTAAGTGAGCATCCAATTTTTTTAAGAAGGATTTTACATTGTTCTGACTCACCATGAGATTTTACTTTCTGAAATGAGCTACGTGTACACAGCAGTCTAATTTTTCTCCTTGTACATGCTTTTTAATTGTTAAATATCATATTGTCTGTGATACTCTGAACTCTTGTTTGCAAGCTACACTGAGCATCAAATTTTTATTCTAAATTTTTAAAATTCATTGTTCTTAAGTGTTGGAAATCTTGTCTCTGTAGATGTTTACTTTGAATTTTGAAGTGTTGTAAAATTTTTGTTTTTTAGTACTCAAATCTCTTGCTCATACATAGTTGCCATATGCATTCTTAATTATCTTTTGCTGCACAATTTTTCAGCACACCATGGGTTCCCTTTTTAATGCAATTTATTTTTACTATGAGTGTTCACAATTTTGCAGCACTTGAATGCATAATGTTTTTAATTTTTGGGTGTTGTATGTGCAAGTACATGTGCTGTTGCTGCATAATTTTGTTATAAATTGCAATTTGTACATGCTTTTATGGTCCTTTGTCAATTCTAATATACATTGGCTGCACTCCTCCTTTTGAACAACCGTGCTTGGATTTTTCATTGCTGTAAATTCTATTTTGTGTAGCATGCATTCTTAATTATTGCTTCATTTTTCTAGCTGCAAAATTTTGTTTTGCTCAGTAATTCTTTCTTCATTATGCAGCCTGTAATTTGCACAACAAATTTCTTCATTTTTATGCAATTTATATACATAAGTGTTTGCTGTCATTTCTATTCTGAACAGTCCAAGCATTTTAACAAAGAAAGCAAGAGGCAAGCCTCACACCTCAGCTTAATTCACATACACAGGGGAGTCTCTTTCTACCCTCCCAAATTTTGTTTTGTTCTCTAATTGTGATCCTCACTGTTTTACAAGTTTTGCATCCCTCTTGAGCAACACTTTATATCATAATTCACACACAACTTTTGAACATTGTTGACAACCATGATTGTTTTTAAATTCCAAAAATTACCATAGTAAGATTTGAACTTAATTCTTTTCTTGAGAGTATGCTTGTTGGATTCTCAATTTCTTTGCATGATTTGTCATTTTTCTTTATCCTCTTCCTATGCATTCATGTTCTAAAATGATTGAGGCCATTATTATGTTTAGCTACTTTTAACTAAAATGCCATGCCTTTATTCAACACTTGTTAGCCCTTTTTGAGGTTGGCCAAATTTTTCTCTCACCTCTACACTGTCACCAACCATGCCCAAACACTTGTCCCTCCTTATAACTTAGAAAGCATGAGCACTAATTTGGATAACTTAGCAAATTCTAATTTTGGGGTTCTATTAGAAATTGCTTGAAGACAAGCAATCCTTTTAAGTTTGGGGTTGGAAAATTGCATATGGGTGTATAATTATATATGTTGAGAGAGCCATTTTGGTCAATTGATGCAGTTAGTAAGTATTCAAATTGAGTACCATTCAATTTACTTCAAAGAAAAATAAAAAAGAAAATAAATAGAAAACAAAAATAAAATGAAAAGAGAAATCCAAAATAGAGATTTAAGTGTTGTAGTAGTCAATTAAGAAAGTTAAAAAATACCCAATGGGGAGTCCAAATAGTTCTTCAATTTCTTAGATTTTCTAAGTATCCCTCATTTTTTTTTCTGATATAAGGAACAGCCAGTGACCAAATTGTTTTCCCACCTAAACCTTGACCACATTTTAACCTTTATAAAGCCCTCTTGATTATAACTGATTGCATGGATAGTGTGAATTAGAAATTTACCAAATCTATGTGAAAGAATAACAGCAAAGGCATGAAGAGAGTCAAACACAAGCCTAAACACTTGAGTAGCAAAGAGTGAAACATTGACCTGAGAAGGAATTTAATTCAGTTTTGGTGTCAAAAATTGAAGAAATTGCTTGTGAATTGTATGCATTAATTTAATTGCTGCAAGAAGGATAATTGACAATACGAGTGTGTGTCAAATTTTATGAGAACTAGCTACTTTAATTGAAAAAGAAATTTGCTTGAGAACAAGCAAACATTTAAGTTTAGGGTTGTGATGAGTCACTAACTCATCTAGAAAATTAAAGATTTTTAGGCATATTTCATTGAATATAAATTATAAGTTAATGCAATTAATTGAGAAATTCAATGGAATGTTGTATTTGCTGGAAAATTCATGAATCACTCATATTCTGATGGTTGTCAGTTTTATTTTGAAGGGATTAGAAAGAAATTTGCAATTGAACTTAAAGAGCTAAAGATGAATGCTATAGGACTCATTTGTGGGGACACAGATTCCTGATTGTGGGGACACGTGCTGACTGAGCATATAAAAGTGAAAAAATTCTGAAAAGAAGCATCTTTTACTTTTCTGTCTTTTACGATTCCAGAGCGCAAAAACCTAGGTTTTACATACAGCTTACATAGAATATGGTAGCTAAGGTATTTTCTTTACATCTTTGCTAGAGGATTCTTATGGGAACTTGGATTTCATCTCATTTTCTCTGGTTTATGTAATGGAACAGTAACTTTCTCATTTCATCTATTGCTGTAAGCTTTTCT